GCCAGAGGGCCCCGGTTTGGATCCCACATATGAGGGCCAGTGACACTGCCCTCTACAGCTAAGATGCTGAACAACAGCTCAACCTGGAGGTGGGCTGCCGTGAGTCACTGGCGATGGTGTAGGCTGCAGCCCCTGTGGCAGTGGGTTGCCATGGGCTACCGTATGTAGCCAGCAGCCGCAGTGAGCGGCAGTCCAGAAGCTGGCGACTGATCTGCCTCACCCGGGATGAGCACAATGATGGTGCCAACTTGGGCCAGTGAAGCAACATCCTCCACAACTAGACTGAAGAACAACTTGTCTGTTCCCCTTCCCCCAATCCCCCAGCACTGTTCTCATCCCCCGAATTCCCCAATAATAAAAATCTTAAAAAAAAAAAAGAATGTTTAACGGTATCACAATGTAAGAGATAAAAACATTAAATTACTACTCATTATTTTATTCTTTGATTCACCCTTCCATCATAATTAGTTGTCTGTATTTGTTGTAAATTTAAAATCTCAAGTGTAACTATTTTGTGTATAAGTGTAAATAGTTTGTGCCTATCTTTCAGTCCTGTAACGTTCGTGTTGAGAAATCAGCTGACAGTCTTATGAGAGCTCCTTGAAGGTAACTAATAGCTTTTCTCTTACTGCTTTTAAGGTTTTCTCTTTGTCTTTAATCTTTGGCATTTTAGTTATGATGTGTCTTGGTGTTGGCCTCTTTGGGTTCACCTTGTTTGGAACTCTCTGTACTTCCTAGACCTGTTGTTTATTAGCTTTGCCAGGTTAGGGAAGTTTTCCATCATTATTTCTTCAAATAGGTTTTCAATTCCTTGCTCTCTCTCTTCTCTTTCTGGGACCCCTATTATGTGAATGTGGTACGTTGATGTTGTCTTAGAGGCCCCTTAAACTGCCCTCATTTTTTTAATACTTTTTTCTTTTTTCTGTTCTCACTGGGTGTTTTCTGCTACCTTATCTTCCAAATTGCTGATTCAATTCTCTGTTTTGTCTAATCTGTTGATTCTTTCTAATGTAGTCTCATTTCAGTATTGTATTCTTCATTTCTGACTGCTTCTATTTTATGTTTTCTAATTCTACTTTTGTTTTCCACTGTTTTGTTGAAATTCTTTCTGAGATCATTGAGCATCTTTATAACCAGTGTTTTGAATGCTGCATTTGATAGACTGCTTGTCTCAAGTTTGTTTTGTTCATTTTTGGAGCTTTGTTCTGATCTTTCATTGGGGACATGCTTCTTTGTCTCCCATTTCAGCTGAATCACTACATTTGTATCTATGTATTAGAAAGATCTGCTATGTCTCCTGGTCTTGTTAGATTGGCCTTATATAATAGGTGTCCTGTGGGGCCCAGTGGTGCATTCTCCCAGGTCACCTGAACCTGATGCTGCAGCTGTGTCTCTTGTGTCAGTTGTGTGGGCCCTCCTATTGTAGTTGAACCTTGGTTGCTATTTGCATGTCAGTTGGAGGGATTGATCCCAGGCTGATTGGTTGTGTGGATTGGCTGTGACTATAGTGAAGGGGCTGTTGTGTAGGGGCTGACCCTCTGAAGCAGGATTCACCTATCAGGGCTCTGGTGCCTGCCCAGACTTCCCTTTGGGTATGTTATCAATGGAGGTGTCCAGATTGTGCTTTGGTGTTGTTCAAAGCCAGCCACAGGTCATGCCATGTCTGGGGCCTCCTGGGAAGGGCCCCAATGCAAGCAGGTTCAGCCTTCACTTGTGCCCTGCCCAGAGCCACCTGGCATGAGCCAGAAAGCGATCTATAGATTTCTTCCACACACACTGGGCTTGAAGGTGCCTGGGAAGCGTTAAGCTATGAAGCAAGGCTGGCTCCCACTACTGCTGGACTTGGGGCTGCTTAGAAATAGCTATAGTGGATGCTGAGACCAGGTGCTGCTTGTTTGCTGTTTGTGAACCTTTGAGAGGCATGAGCCAAGACTGGCCAATTATATGGAAAGCCACCGGAAGTGGCTGATTTGGGCTC